GGTTAACAGCTCTCCCGGCAGGCAGCTCGTTGGCTGGGAAGCAAAAGCGCCTCGGATATGCCTCGTTTTGTACAAAGGAGGTGGGTTGTGCCCGTCCCTCCCACCCCGCTGATCACCCTCCGTTCCGCAGATAATACCCAGCAATTACACCGAGCTTTCCCTGCTCTCCACAGACATTAATTAAGCTCTTTCCCCACGGTGGAGACAAAGAGGGGAACCGCAGGGGAACTTCCAGCTTGGATCGGGGTTTGGTTTTTCGGGTTGCTTTTGCGTGCCCGCACCACGGGGCCTCTCAGGTCCCGCAGCACCGTGTGATGCTGGTGCAGGCTGGCCCCCGGAGCGATGGCTGCTCTGGATTTCCCTCTCCCATGGCAGAATTTGCCTGGTTTTGCCTGATTTCTGGGCTCCTGTGGGCATTCGGACGGCGGTGCTGGATCCTAGCGCTCCCAGTGAGCCAGCTGAGTGCTCCCGGGGCCAGTAAGCAAGGCTGGCTCTGCCCTGTGGCAGCTTCCTGGGTGACACCCCGAGAGCAGGAGATGGGGAAACCAGACTGTCCTATGGGCACTGCATCAGCCTCACATCCGATCTCATCCCAAAGAGCTGGAGAGGCTCCGCAGCCTCCTGGAAGCTGCCTGCAGCCCGGGGTTAGAGCAGGGATGGATGGGCAGAGCATCCTTCCAGCACCATAGGAGGCAGGATAATGGGCAGGGCACCCTGCGGGGTAAGACGATGGGCAAGGCACCCTGCCTGGATACCGGAGGGTGTGAAACAGGCAGGGCGCCCTGGAGGAGCGGATGACAGGGAGGACACCCTGCCTGCATCCTGGATGGTAGAAAGACGGGAAGGGCACCCTGCCTGCACCCTGGATGGGCAGGATAACGGGCAGGACACCGGGAAGGACAGGATAACGGGCGGGACACCCGAGAAGGGCAGGATAACGGGCAGGACACCGGAAAGGACAGGGTATCGGGCAGGACACCGGGCAGGGCATGATAACGGTCAGGACACAGGGCAGGACAGAATAACGGGCAGGACACCGGGAAGGGCAGGATAACGGGCAGGATAATGGGCAGGGCAGAATGACGGGCAGGACACCCGGGAAGTGCAGAATAACGGGCAGGATAACGGGCAGGACACCCGGGTAGGACAGGATAACGGGCAGGACACCGGGAAGGGCTGGATAATGAGCAGGACATCAGGAAGCGCAGGATAATGGGCAGGACACCGGGCAGGGCAGGATAACGGGCAGGATAACGGGCAGGACACGATAACGGGCAGGATAACGGGCAGGACACGATAACGGGCAGGATAACGGGCAGGGCAGGATAATGGGCAGGACAGGATAACGGGCAGGACACCGGTCAGGGCAGGATAACAGGCAGGATAACGGTCAGGACAGGATAACAGGCAGGATAACGGTCAGGGCAGGATAACGGGCAGGATAACGGGCAGGACAGGATAACGGGCAGGACACCGGTCAGGGCAGGATAACAGGCAGGATAACGGGCAGGACAGGATAACAGGCAGGATAACGGTCAGGGCAGGATAACGGGCAGGATAACGGGCAGGACAGGATAACGGGCAGGATAACGGTCAGGACAGGATAACGGGCAGGACACCGGTCAGGACAGGATAACGGGCAGGATAACGGTCAGGACAGGATAAAGGGCAGGATAACGGGCAGGACAGGATAACAGGCAGGATAACGGGCAGGGCAGGATAACGGGCAGGATAACGGGCAGGATAACGGGCAGGACAGGATAACGGGCAGGACACCGGTCAGGACAGGATAACGGGCAGGATAAAGGGCAGGATAACGGGCAGGACAGGATAACGGGCAGGATAACGGGCAGGACAGGATAACGGGCAGGACACCGGTCAGGACAGGATAACGGGCAGGATAAAGGGCAGGATAACGGTCAGGACAGGATAACAGGCAGGATAACGGGCAGGATAACGGGCAGGACAGGATAACGGGCAGGACACCGGTCAGGACAGGATAACGGGCAGGATAAAGGGCAGGATAACGGTCAGGACAGGATAACGGGCAGGACACCGGTCAGGACAGGATAACGGGCAGGATAACGGGCAGGATAACGGGCAGGATAAAGGGCAGGATAACGGGCAGGACAGGATAACAGGCAGGATAACGGGCAGGGCAGGATAACGGGCAGGATAACGGGCAGGATAACGGGCAGGACAGGATAACGGGCAGGACACCGGTCAGGACAGGATAACGGGCAGGATAAAGGGCAGGATAACGGGCAGGACAGGATAACGGGCAGGATAACGGGCAGGACAGGATAACGGGCAGGACACCGGTCAGGACAGGATAACGGGCAGGATAAAGGGCAGGATAACGGTCAGGACAGGATAACAGGCAGGATAACGGGCAGGATAACGGGCAGGACAGGATAACGGGCAGGACACCGGTCAGGACAGGATAACGGGCAGGATAAAGGGCAGGATAACGGTCAGGACAGGATAACGGGCAGGACAGCGCTGCCCGCACCCTGGAGGGGTGGGAAAGGGACCGGACCCGCCCCGCCTCGCCCTGCCCTGCCCGGGTCATCCCTCTCCGCGCCCGCCCCGCTCCGGTCCCAGCCCCGGTCCCGGTCCCGGTCGCTCCTCGGAGCCACGCGAGATCCGCGGGCGCGGGGCCGGTGCTGGGCGCGGGGCGGGCCGGGCCGGGCGGGGCGGGCCGGGGAGCGCGCATGAGCCGCGGCGGCGGCGGCGGCGGCGGGCGGGAGCGCGGCAGCGGAGCGCGGCGCTGCCGCGGGTGTGGGCGCGCCGGGGAGCCCCGCACGGCCCGGCCCGGCCCGGCCCGGCCCGCAGCCGCGGGTGGCACCGCCTCGCCCGCCGGGGTGGGGTGGGGTAGGGGGGGGGCTTCCCGGCTCTGCGCGCCCCGCACCGCGGCCCGCAGCCGCCGAGGTAAGCACCGAGCTGCGGCCCGGCCCCCGCCGCCGCCGCCGTTACCGACCCCCGGCCCGCAGCCCCCGGCCCGGCCGCTCCGGGGACCCCCCCCCCCCGCCCTCCGCCCCGCGCTCAGCGCCCCGCTCCGCCCGCCGCCGCGTCGCCATTTTGCCGCTCGCTCTTCCCCTTCCCGGCGGCGCGGCCGGGCCGGGCCCGGCCCTCCCCGTCCCCGCCGGCCCTCGCTGGGCCCCGGCAAGGCCGCGGGCAGAGGTGTGAGGCCCGGTGCGGCCGCGGCGCCCCCCGCGTCCGCTGGGGCTGCGGGACAGCCGGTGCCCGCCTCGGCGCGGCGAGGGCTCATTGTCCGCCGGGGACGCGCGTGTGCTTTGCCCCCGCGGGGTTCCGTGCCCGGGGCTGGGAGGGATTGGCCCTAACGTGCTGCCGACACAAACTTCACCGTGCCCGGAGCGGGAGCTGTGCCCTCCGCAGGGGTGATGGAGCGGGGCTGCCCCAAGGCACGGCTTTGCGGGGCGTCACCAGCGCCTCGGTCCCTCGGTGGGAAGCCTCCGGAGAGGGTGAATCTGATCCGTGCCAAGGAGGCTCCATCGGCTTCATTCCCGGGAGGTTGCGGGGCAGTGGGTCCAGGTTGGCAGTGGAGTTGCAGAAGTGATGGGCAAGGCAGCGTCCTTTGGTGTCGGCATCCGCGCTGGACTTGTCGCATCCCTGCCCGCATCCTGCCTGGTCCGTGGCGCCGTGGGCAGGGGAGCAGCTCTCTCGCCTTTGGAGGTGTTGGTAAATTGGAAGACATCGATGGACGCCCAGTTTGGGTCCAGAGCATCCATAGCGATGGGACTGGGTTGGGAGACCCGCCAGGAGAATCAGTGGTCAGCACCCATGGGTGGCTTTCTTCCTGAAGCCATGAGGCCATCGCGGAGCTGAGAGGGTCACAAGCATCCCTGGCTGTGTTTGCGCTCCTGCAGACCCGATCCGAGGTCACGGATGGGCATTTATCCATGGAATTAGCTGTCCTTTTCCACTTTATTCCCACTTTCCAGGCTGTGCACAGAGAGAAAGAGCCCACTGGGGCTGTGAGCGCCTGGGACACTGTTGGTCCTTAAACCGGGCAGAGGAGCACGTGGCTGTGCTGGTGGCTCCGGAGCGGTGCCCTTGGCACAGCCGGTTCCCAACCTTCTCTCCCTCTTTCCTGTGGCCACAGGCTTCCTCCTCAGCCTTGCTCTCAGCACCACCAGCTCAGCCTCTGCTCGTCCCAAGCTGGTCCCTGTGTTGGCACGGGAATTCTTTCCTGGAGCTGGAGTGGGACACTCGGGAAATGCTGCTGCAAACTTGTAAGAAGTCACCTAAGAAGAGCTGGAGGCTTTGATCAGTGAAGTTCCTGCTATTCCGAACCTTCCCACACCACATCCTCACCCCGCCGATACCTTCTCCCATTGCTGGATGCAGAAGGCTTTTCACCATCACAGAAGCAGGGAAGGGCACGGGCTGTTGCCCAGTTTCAGCGTGTGTTACCCTAAAAGGAGTGAGAAGTTTAGACATCACAAAGCAAGAACCAACAAGGGGCTGATTTTTGCTCTCTGCCCCCGGGGCAATTCCTCTGGGACCTCTGGGGTATTTGGTATGGAAAAGCAGATGTTCAGAACCTCTTATGCTGGCTGGAAAGGATCCCTTTGAGAGGACAGATGTGTTGAGGGGCAGAGCTGAGCTGAGCACCTCGTGGTGATGGTTTTGGGCAGGCAATGTTGGAGGTGATGCTCAGCGTCGCTGCTGCTCCGGTGCTTTGGTGTGCGCTGCCATAGGGCATGCCGGGTGCAGGACGTGGGCACTTGGCCATCGCTGGGGTCTGCCCTGTGCCATCACCCTTTGCGAGTGCTCCTGGAGCTGCCCAGCGAGGTGGACACGGAGTTTCGTGGTCCAACAGCAGCCCTGCACTGGGGTCTCACTGCTTGCTGTGCTGGTGGCCACCATTCGGTGTGTGGGGTCCTGCTCTGCCTTTGCCCTGGTGCTCACAAGGGGCAGGGTTGCATTTCAGCACTGGCCCAGGTTGCTGTGTGCGTTCCCCCCTGGTTTACACCCTGTTGTAAAGCACTGAGGTCTTGTTCCAGCTTTCAAGTCGCTGGTCTTCCATGAGTCTTCTTTGAGCAGCTTGTCCGAGCATCACTGAGAGGTGCCAGGAGACAGCAGAGGAAGGAAGGGACCGGCATGTTCATCCATGGAGGGTCAGGGATGGTCTCACACAAGTGAGGGTGGAGCTGTGATTTGGGAAGGGGCCGCAGGGATCCGAGCATCCCCACGGGCAGCTCAGGTCTCCCATCAGAAGACTCCAAGTTAGCTGAATCAACGCTCCCTGCGTTCACCAGCACACGCCAGAGAACCTGTTGCCAAGGCTGGAATGTCTCGCTTGATCCCATTAACCTTTGTGTCCCTGCCACCACATACATGTCACCAGCCGAACGCGTGCCCGAAGCTTTGGCCAGCTCTGGCAGCACGTGCGCTGCATGTGATGGGCCTGATCCCGCATGGAAAATCCCTGGGGCACCTCAGAAAGGACTGATGGGCCTTTGTGTCTTACGTGTTGATGGCATGGCCGATGAGCCGGGATGCTCTCCTGACCTCTGCATCCCTCTGGGGACAAGGAGAGGCAGGATGAATGCGGATGCTCAGTGCATCCAGTCCGTTGAGTTAAACGATGCCAAGTGTGATCTTGGTTGGAGGAATTTGGGAGGAGGAATCAAATCTCTCTGTGTGGGTTGAGCATGGGTGAAGAAGTGATTAGTTGGCACTTCCCATAGTCACGCTGTCAGTGCCTGGCTGAGATCAGCGTCCCGTCCCATCCAGGGTCTCATCCGTGGTGGTCCAGGGAATCACCTCCCAAGAGCCTGATGCTCCCAGCGCAGCCCCATCCTCAGATGTGTCCTTGCTTATGCTGTTGGGAAGGGAGGAAGGTGCTTGAACCCACCCCATGGCACTGCCAAAGCAGAGGGCTGTCCTGCTGCCCGCTTCCGTTGGGAGCAGGCGTGGGCCTTGTGCGATAATGCCTGATGTTCATTATTTATAGAGCAGCCAAATTGAATTATTAATAGGGAAAATTCAGATAACGTCCCCACTCCTCAGTTTGTAACAGTTTCCCATTAATAAGGAAAATTGGAAATTTATCACTACATCTGCTCATTAAAACTCACTCCGGTTTTCTTTTTCTTTGGGTGTCTCAAATGAAAGGCGAGGAATAAACGACGAGGAGAAAGCCATTTATTCCCTGCTTCTCGGGGCAGAGGCAGCCCATCATTAAAGTCTTTGCTGTTGGATGTGGAGGGGAAACCAGCCTATAATAAAGCAGCTTTTCAGCCATGTCCGTTGTGGCGTTGCTCGACTCTAGAACAAACCCTGGGAATCGCGTCCTGCTGCTTCTCTCTGTGGGACTCTGTCGGCTGTGGGATAGAGCCCGGCTTTCCCTCCCTCCCCAGCAGCTCTCCTTGCGTTCAGCATGTGTTGCTCCCGGCTCCGAGGAGTGAATTTTAGTGCCTCTCCTGCTTCTTTCAGAGATGGCGGATTCCTATACCTATAAAGGTGGAAGGAAAACTGCAGGCTCGCACAAACCCGCTGCCAGCAAGGAAAGCAGGACAGAGACAAGGATAAACCCACCGGCAGAGCTGCCCAAGCTCGGTAAGGACATGGTTTTCCTTTCCGTGGAGGTGGATGGGGCAAAGGGGATGAGGCTGGGGGGCAGGACTGGGGGGGGGGGTGTGGCTGCCATAATGAAGGGGTGTGAGTGCATCTGATCGTGCCTTTGCTTTAATCCACCGGGGAGAGCTGTGCCGGTCCAGTAAATCCCCTTGGAGCTGCAGGGGGAATGGGAAGGGAGCGATGGAGCCGGTGTCTCCCTTGCTGGCTTAACGAGATGGGTGTCTCGCCGCTGTTTATCCTGCTGGTAGCTGAGTGGGACATCAAAGGAGGGGAAAGGCTTAAATGAGTTCAGCCCATCTGCTGTCTCCTGGGTCGGGGAGGCTTGCGAGTCGATGAGCCCTGGGGGAGCCGCTTGCTAAGGGCTGTCACTCTGATGGATGGCTGATTGCTCTATCCAGGAATCTCCAGGCCCGAGGAGATTCGTTTCCTTCTGTCTGCTCACACTGGGCTCATCCACAGAGGGGCTCTCACTGCCTTTACGGTGCTCAAAGCCAGGTTGGGCACAGGGGCTTGGAGCAAGCTGCTCTAGTGGAAGGGGTCCCTGCCCGTGGCAGGGGTTGGAGCTGGATGGGCTTTGAGGTCCCTTCAACCCAAACCAGTTCTATGGTTCTGTGATAATGAGGGGTTCCTGTGCCCTGGGTGAGGGTCAGACCCCAGTGATGTATCTGGGACCAGGCACCCAAAATCAGCAGCTTTGCAGGGAAATGCCTGTGCCCTAAATGCTTCCCAAATGTCCCTCTTCCCTTGAGGGGGTTGAAGCTGTAATTGCTAACAGAGGGCTATAACTTATTACTGATGGGAATGAGCTCCAGCTGTCCCCAGTATGAGCATACCTGTGTTCAGGAGTGGTTTTCCCTGCACCACGTATTAGCAGGCCTTTTTTAGCCCTTGCTTCTGGCTTGGATGGACTGAAAGTGATGAGGGGGAGTGAAGGACACTTTGTGATGAAGATACTGCATTGTTCTCGCTGGGATGGGGCTGGAGGTGGAAATGGCTGACAGGGCTGGTGTCATCGGGGTGAATTAAGCTGGATGCAGTCACTTTGCTGGGATGCAGCAGCCTGTTGGCACAGGGAGCATCCTTCCCAAGCCAGGTCTTGGTCCGGAGAAGGGATGGGATTTCTGTGCTCAACAGCCTGCCCAGACACAGATTTCTTTTGCTAAGTGGCGTAGTTGTTGAAGGATTTCTTCCAATGCAAGTGGAAGGATGGATTCCAAAGCACCCCCTGGCTGTGCTGAAACTGCTCTGTGGAAATGAAAGGAGATGTGTCAGTGGGTACCAGGAGAAGCCGCTGCCTCCTGTGCAGGTATCTGCGGGTGTAGGGGCTGTGCACTGAGCTGCAGAGGAGCTGGCATTGCCTTCCAAAGGGGAATCTCCATCCTTGCCAGGGCAGGGACACTCAGCCCAGGGCCCTGTGTGTGTCCATAGACTGCGTGGAGCGAGGGAAGCGGGATTGCCGGGACAGCAGCAGGTGATGGGCGCTGCCTCTGTTTGCAGGGAATGCAACCAGTGACAAATCCGAAGGCAGGAAGAAAGGACGACCCAAGGCTGAGAACCAGGCACTGAAAGACATCCCTGTAAGACCCCGGACCCTCTGCTCCCCAGTGCCCTCCCTGCCTTGCCCTCCACATCTTCCTGCACTGCATGCTCCAGCCAGCCCCATTCCAAGGTTAAACCTGCCCTTCCCGGGGGCTTAATCATCAGAGCAGCCTTGTTGTGGGCATAGCAAGATCTTTGCCCCTCCATCCCCTCCATGCAGGCATCCAGCATCTTCCAAAACCCTGGTTAGGGAACACAAACCCCCTCCGGGCTCCCCTTCCCAGCGCCATGCCCAGATGAGCTGGATTCTCTCACAGACACGTCAGGTTTGGCTGGTGATCTGGGAAAGGGGTGATTTATTCCCCACAGAGTTGTGCAGTTTCATTCCCACACGGACAACACAGGGAGCAGTTTGTCAGGAGAGCGTGGCCATGGGGTGATTTATTGCCTAGATGAAATATGGGGTGATTAAATCACTTAGGTGGCTTCTAGCCTGATTTATTCCCTTAGCCTGGCTGGGAGCGTGCGTGTGCTCGGGGAGGCACATTAACCTGTAGAGCCTGCAGCATCTGTCCCAGCTCCTCTGGCTGGAGGGAGCACCACTGCACTGCAACACAGCCCTGGGTTCCCTTTGGGGCTGGAAGGGTTGGACAGGGATGATCAGAAGGTCCCATGTGGCCCCTCGGGATGCAGCTGGACGCATGCTCTTCCCTCACCAACGCGTCTCGTGTCTCCTGTTCCCAGCTCCCCCTGATGAACCAGTGGAAGGACGAATTCAAAGCCCACTCCAGGGTGAAGTGTCCCAATGCAGGCTGCTGGCTGGAGTTCCCCAGCATCTATGGCTTGAAGTACCACTATCAGCGCTGCCAAGGGGTAAGGGGACCAGAGGGATGCCTCTCCTCTCCAGTGCCCTGCTCGTACCTTACCCTCTACAGGGTAAAGCCCCTCTTGGGCCTTATACCACCAGGAGAAACATGACATTAAAACGGGGAGGGCATGGCTGGGCCAGAAGTGGTTCATGAGATGTGCATGAGAGAGACTGGGGTCCCTCCAGCTCAGTGTGAGGTTTGGCTTTGGGGATCGTGGGCTGTTGGTAACCATTTGGAGGGGCAGAAGGATGCTACCCGTGATGTGTGTGCATACCTGCATCAGGAAAAGCCCGTCCCTTTCATGGCCTCACATCCCCGCTCCCCTGTCTCTCCCTGCTCACACAGGGTGCAATCTCCGAGAAGCTGACGTACTCGTGCTCGTACTGCGAAGCTGCCTTCACCTCCAAAACCCAGCTGGAAAAGCATCGGCTCTGGAATCACTTGGATCGGCCCGTGCCAACCAGCAAAGCAGAAAACAAAGTGCCCAAGGCCATTGGGAAGAGCAGTGGCAAGAAAAGGTACCAGGCTGTGGCTGGCGGTGGTGTAGGGATAGCTGGGAGAAGGGGAATGTGCCCACCTCCATTCCCCATGATCCAGGCTGGCGAGGCGAGGCGGCGGGGGGAGAGGTGTCAGGACATCTGTGTAACAAGCCCTCTTTAAACGAGCCCTCTGTGCTTTGCCCTAGAGCTGCTGAGAGTTCAGCTTGCCCCACCATCCATCCCAAACAGGCAAAGACGGACAAAGCCGTGGGCCAGGGCCACGCGGAGAATGGCGAGTGCCTGGCGGAGAGCCGGGAGAGCAAGGAATTCCACATCGCCGGAGCCGAGGCCATGGCAGCCGCCACCCCCACGGCCAAGTCCTCCAGTGGCAAGGACACCATGCAGCAGGGGGGCAGCCAGGCCTCGCTGCAGGAGGAAGACCCCGAGAGGATGAAGCACAGTAAGATTAGAGCCCGGGGCTACGCTGGTTCCAGAGCGCAGAGAAGGGGTGTCCTTGGGGAAGGGGCTCTGCCCCAGCCACTGCGAGTGTCTTCCTGAATGTTCCCAAGGTTTAGCATCCGGGTGACTTGCCCCCAACTCAGTTTCTTGTGGCTCCACTGGGACTTAAAGCCTGGTGGTAGCTGTGGTAGGTGTATGGGGGTCTCCGAGGTGCCAATACAAGAGGGACGTGGAGCTGCTGCAAGGGTTCTGCTCTGGAGCCAGGCTGAGAGAGCTGGGCTGGGTCAGCCTGGAGAAGAGAAGGCTCCTGAAGGGGAGAGCTTAGAGCAGCTCCAGTGCCTGAAGGGGCTGCAGGAAACCTGGAGAGGGGCTTGGGACAAGGGGTGTAGGGACAGGTCAAGGGGAATGGCTTTAACCTGCCCCAGGGGAGGTCAGCTGCTGAGGCTGTGGAAACCACTTGGCTTTTGGCACAAGACCGAGCCACCACTTCCACTCTTTGAATGAACCCTGGATCCCATTATTTCTCCTGGGGTTTTGGGGTGGGAAGCAGCATCCTGATGCTGTTTGGTGCCGCATGTTTCATCGTGGTAAAGGCCTCCTCAAGGCGATCCACTCCTGACATAGAGCACGTGCCCACCCCATGCCCTGGTGCTGCTGGATCCCCCTGGCAGTGCAGGTATTTGACCAAATCTCTCTCTCTGTTTCTCTCTTTTGAGTCAGGAAGGAAACAGAAAACTCCTAAGAAGTTTACGGGGGAGCAGCCGTCCATCTCGGGGACTTTTGGGCTCAAAGGTAATAGAGGGATGGCTCCGGTGGCTCTAGGGTTGTAGCTTCATCGTGGGGTGTTTCAAGGAAGCCCCGTTCCCAAGAGCACTCCCTGGGGAGGAGGAACGTGACAAGACACATGGGGACATCACATGGGAGGAGCTGGTGCCTTTGACCATAGGGGTGTTGTAAAGGGAAATGAAGGCGGCGGTGGAGCTGGCACTGGTAACAGCCCTGGCTGCTCTGCTTGGAAGCCTGTTGCTGGGAATTAGGGGAAAGAGGATAGGATCCGGGTATGTCCAGCTGTATCACAAGAGAAATGAGCTGCTGACACAAGCAAGGCACGAGAAGCACCAGCTCATCATCATCATCCCACCATCCTGGGAAGTCACAGCATTTCCAATGGCATCCAGGGGGGGTTCTGTGCCTAGAAAAGCTGCGTGACGCATCCATCCCTCAGATGATGCTCCAGTGCTGGTCGCCCACAGTCAAGAAGATGAATTCAAGGGAGAAGAGAAGTGTTGCTGGGATGTTTCCTGTGAGGAGGCTCAGGAGTTGCTGTTTCAGCCTGTCAAAGCAAGAGCAAGTGGGACTGTGCTCATGCTCCATAGGTATACCCAACTGGGATGGAAACCAGGAGCATCCCTGCTACGAGAGCAACTGGATTCGGATTGCCCATGAAATATGCTTGATGAGGGAAACAAAAAGTGGATTTCCAGGCAGGAGGCAGCACCTTCCAGTGCGAGAGGCACTCTGGGGAGAGGCACTAATGGCTTTGAAGGACTTAAACACATATTGACGAGCAGTCTGGATGTGGTCTCTGTGCCTGCCTTTCCCCTTGCTCCTGGGATGTCTGGGGCTGTTCCCCTTAACAGCCCCACAGAGGCACTGCCACAGGCTGAAACGTCTGCTGTGGGTTCCTCAGGGAGAAGCTGGTCCCCCACTGACCCACTTCCTCAGGTGGAGAGTGAAGATGAGGCAGGTGTTTGCCTCCATCCCCTGGGCTCAATGTGGCAGTTCTCTCCCCAGAGACAAGGCTGCCACCAGCCCATCACGGGTGGTGTCTGCATTCAGACCCAGGCTCACAACCCACGCTTTCAGAGGGACGTGGACCCTCTGCCCCTCACGTTTTCCATTTCTTGGATATGCCAAAGGATTCTGTGTGACAGAGCAGGATCGGGCAGCACTGCTGCTGCTCGCAGGCTCCCAGCACGTGCTGACCCTCCTGCTGCTCACTTCACCCTGCTTGGTACAGGGATGATGCTTTGGTGGTTGGCAGCGATGCCTGTAGCAGGCTGAATGGGAAGCACATGCTTTGCCCAGGCAGGGATGAGGCACAGACAAGTTGGGATTGCGGATGTGTTTTGGGGAAGCTGGCGGGGAGCCTGGCACTCTGCCTGCACGGGGAGCCCTGCCTTTGATGCCTCTCTGCTTTGCAGGCAGGCTTGGTGACGGTCACCAGCAACCCAGGGAGCCAGACCAGCTTTCCTCTTCCCCATTTGCCTGTCATCCAGTCACCCCTCTTCTCCTGCTCCTTCCTGCCCCTTCCCAGCGCACACTGGGATGGGAAGAGATCCATGTGCATGATGACAAGTGCATACAGATCCAGGGATGGAAGGTCCTGCATCTCTCTGGTGTCCAGGATCCCAGAGTTTACCCAGTTTTATAAGAGGGACCACAGTTCCTTGGCGTAAGCAATCAGCCTCTCCAGTGCAGGAGCAGCAGCAGGAACTTCACTTTTATATCCTGCATTTGCTGTTTCAATTCCCCATTTCAGTTCGCCTCAAAGTGCCCTTCTGCCTCCTCCTGTCTTTCTCCCAGTCTGCCTTTCCAGCAGCACCCTACCCCACTTTGCCATGGTGTTTCCACAGTTCATAAACTGCCTGGGTTGGGGGAGACGATTCTCTTTGGAAACCACCCCAAGCTGTTACGATTGCTTGGCATGATTCTGGACCTGATCCCATACGCACATCCTTGGCAGGGCTGCAGCCAGTTTGCTGCCTCTGGATTAGTGGAAGGGATTTTTTTCCCTTGCTAAGTGGGAGTTGGTCTCTCTACAGGTCTTGTTAAAGCAGAGGATAAGGCAAAAGCTCATCGAGCCAAGAAGCTGGAGGGGAACACCAGCGTGGAGGAGCTCAAAAAGAAACCTCTAGGAGCTGCCGTGAAGAAGGAAACGGCTGTGCATCTACCAGCAGGTGAGGCTGGGGGAGGCAAAGCACGGGAGCAGGCATGTATGGTCCCCACTGTGGTCCCCACGTTCACCTGCAGGTTCCATATCCCTCCTTGCCCAGCTGGGTGAGCTTTCCAGCAGGTTTGTGAGCAGAAGCAGCACAAAATCCAGCTCTTTCCACCTGGCTTCGCTGTGGCCACGCTTTGGGTCAGGGAAGATGGCGTTTTTCTAACCATCATCTCCAAGAACGATGGCAGTGCAAAGCTCTAAGCATGGTTATGTCTTCTCCGAGGCGCATCCTACATCCTAGCGCAGGTTGCTTGCCTTGCCTTGGGAGCTGTGACAGCAGGAGGAACGCAGGATGTGCAAGATAAACACAGCTGCAGTGCCTTGCACTGCTTTCAAATGCAAACAGATCACCCGGAGAGCTCAAGAGCTGTGCAAAGGCATCCAAATAAACAGACTTGGTGGGTTTGATTCAGGCCAGGCTTCCCTTGCTGGAAGCCCAGCATCACTGTGCTGAGAATCAGTGTGAGCTGGAGCAGGTTTTGACCCCATGAATCCCTTATTTTAGGCAGTTTTTAAGGCAGGCACAGCCATTCAAATAAGCAGATGCTTGGAAGCTAGCACTCCTCTTGCTGCCTGTGTGTCTGCTGGGAAGGGGATTGCACCCATCCCAAGGGAGCCGAGATGCTCACCTTTGTTTTACTCCTGCTCATTGTTTCATGTGGCAGGGGGAGGTTATTCCACACATGGCAAGGTCAGGCAGCCAAGGACATCATCATGTTTTAACTCCCAGCTTGTAGGATGTAGCAGGGTTGGAAAGGGGGGGGAAAACCTCCTTTTCCCTATCAAATGCTACCGGGTCAGGTATATGAGGAGACCCAGGGACCAGTTTGTTCAGGCAGCTTCAGGAGCTGTGGGGCAGGCAGAGCTGTGTGGTTTGTGCCTGGTTTGGGCTTGACCTATGCCTGGGAGAGTGTTTCTTCTTTAACATCAAGAACTTTCCCCAATTCAGTGCTTTTTAAGGTGATAAACAAGGCTCACAGCAGGGTTGTCCTCAGCCCAGGCAGGCTGGGGGCTCTGTGGTTGGCTGTAACACCTCTCTCCTGTCCCTCACCAGCAAACCCTGAGGACCAGTGGCAGCGGGAGATCAGCGAGAAGGGAGAAGTCGCCTGTCCCACCTGCAGTGTTATAACCAGGAAAACTATCGTGGGGCTCAAAAAGCACATGGATGTGTGCCAGAAAGTAAGACTTGCTTTATCCAGTCACCCACATATGGATTGTGTAAGGGAACGGATTCATAGGTGTGCCACTCATAAATGTGTACTGGTGCTCGGGGCTGGGGTTGATTTAACACTTGCTGCTCATCTTCAGAGGGAAGATGGTTGCCTCGCATCGATTCAGAGGGAATTAGACACCTAATTCCCTGGAAGTGTTCAAAAACCATATAGATGGAGGCCCTTAGTGACCTGGTTTAGTGGTTTCACTGGGGTAAAGGTTGGCCTTGATGATCTTAAAGGTCTTTTCCAACCGAGATGCTGAACCCCTCTGTGGTCTGAGGCCCTGGCCCCGGTGTCTCCAGGTATTTCTAGTAGCTAAATGAATAGCTGTGAGGCTGGAGAGACTGTTGGAGCTGTGTCTAACCTGGCCTCCTCCTGAGTGCTGGCTGAGGGATTTCAGTGTCCCACGCTTTGCATCAGGCCGGATAAATTGTGGCCAAATGAGAGCACGTCTCGGGGAGGCATCGTGCTTGGATGGGCTCAGGCGGGCTGTCAAGAGCAGGGCTTCAGTAACGGTGCAGTGAGCAATGGTCTCTGTGCCACGCCACCATCCATCAGAGCAGAGGATTACGTCCTCATCCGTCACCTGGCGCGGCGCGGAGCCAGCACCGCAGGAAGGCAACGTGGGATCGATGCCTCCTGCTTGGAAAACATGGGGCTGGGCTTCGATTCCACATCCATTTTCTGTGAATGCCCTCCTCAGCCTTTGCCTCTCAATTTAGTGGGAGGCTGCTCTCCCTTTCAAACCCTGGACTGCAGCGATGCTGGGCAGAATCAGAATCCTGCCTCCTCTGGTGTCCTCCTGGCTGCGGTGGAGTGGGATCTTGGCCATCACTGCTCATGTCTCCTGTGCTTTGGAGCATCTCCCAAGCTAAACCAGGCTCCAGGCAGGCCTGCTGAGGAGCGATAGGCCACTGTAAATAAGCTTCATCCCTTCAAGTGGGTGTTTTGTCACCCTTCCATGGGAGGGACAGTCCTTGCTGGGGCTGGGATGCTTCACAGAATCCCTGCCAGAGCAGTCTGTGGTCCATTGAGGACGGTCCCTAAGCTCTGGGTGTATGACCACAGGCCCAGCTCTCAGCATTTCACCTCTAAGAGGAACCTATGGCACATCCGTAGGGAGGTCCCACTGCTACAGGCATGTGGTATACCCACCAGAAGTGACCCTGGAGCAGAGGCCCTCTCTCAGCTTGCTCTCTGCTTTAATGACTGAAGTATTTCTTAGCTGGACAATGGGAAGAGGATGTGCAGGCTCCCAGAACTCTTATAAACCGACAGAAATTGGTTTCTCCATTCCTTGCTTGTCGCTGAGCAGTCTGCTCTGTTTCCCTTGGGTTTGGAAAGGAAATAAGGGATGGGGACAGTGGCAACATGCGGGGGCCTGAAAGAGGCGAGAGCAGGTAAATGCTGCCAGTGTCCTGGGTCGGAGGGCTTGTTAGAACATGGACATGGCATTCTTCAGTGTGGACCTGAGGGGTAAACCCCAAATTGGCTGGCATTGGTATCTGGTGAGTTAAGTGGCTTTTAGCATCCACCCTGTTAGGATCAAGCGCTTGGGTCTGGAGCAAGGTTAACTGATGGGAGCACAGGTACATGTGAGTCGTTCCCAGCTGGCTGCAGTGAGTTCATTCTTCATTTCCCCAGGACTTCAGGATGAGGAGGGATTTGCAGCTCCATCTTCATTCCCTCTCCTGCTTCTAGTCCAGGCTTGACTGAAGGGGGAAGTGGTGAAGGTGAAGCATCAGCCAGGCAGGAGGAGCAGGAACGGCTGCAGCCATCCAGGCACCAGCTCCCTGTCGAGACATCCTGTCTCTTGGTGCCCAGAATGTTCACCTCCTGAGTCAATACATGCTGGTACCTGCCCCAGCACGAGTCATGTTCTGCTTATTCACTTTGCAAGTTCCCCTTGCACGTCGGTGTGTGCATTCAATGCCTCTCCCCAGTCACTCAGGAGGCCAAGTCAGGTCAGAAGCAGAGCAATAGGTGGTGGCAAGTGCTCTGATTGTCCAGCAGCATCTGGATTTCAAACAGCCCAGGCACCCAGAAAGGGGTTTGTACACCAGCACCTGCAGTAGTTAATGGTGCTGCAGAGCACAGTTCTCTAACATACCGATAGATCAAAGCTGCTCCCCTGTCCTAACCCTTTAACAGGAAAACTCAGATACCGGGTCCAGATGTTTGCAGCCAGCAGGGCTTTAAATCTACATCCAAAATGGAATGTTTTCCAAAGCCTGGGGCATGTGGGTTTGATAACGGTATCCAGGACCACAGAGAGAGCACCCCTGAGCTGCAGGCTGGGACTGGGATGGGCAGCAGGGTTGCCTGCTGGGTCCCGCTGCTGGGTGCTTGCTGCCTATGGGGCTTAGTGACAAGCAGCCCTTGGAGGAATGAACGGTGGCCTCTGCCCCCCGGGGTGACTTGTCTTTGATTCCTTCAGCTGCAGGATGCCTTGAAGTGTCAGCACTGCAAAAAGCAGTTCAAGTCCAAGGCCGGGCTGAATTACCACACCATGGCTGAGCACGTCAGCAAGGTAAGAGCTGGGCTGCCCTCTTCTCGCGCCTCGATTCTTGATGCAGATGCAGGAGGTGAGGCTCTCAGCAGTCTCTTCCCTTTGGGTGAAGGAAGGGTTCACACCATCACCTTCACAGCATTTCCTATGCTGCTTAGTCCGGACAGTGGCCGAGCGCAGCCGTTCCTTCCCTGGCAGCTCCTTGTTGATCCTGGGAGCAGAGCAGAAAACACACCAGGATTTCAAACCCCGGGATGGGGGAGATGCGGTGAGTGCGGTGAGGTGGATTTTGAGTGGCAAAGCTCTGCCTCCAAAACCACCTGCAGAGCTGGGGCTGATGGGCTCTGCCTTGCACGAACCTCTAAATCCAGCTCTCCACTAAGAAGCAGGCACAAAATCTCTCATGGATAATGTTTGGCAGGTACCAGTTTAGATGCTGTGCTTGAAAACCTGGTGGGGTACCTCCAGGATAGCAGGGCAAGGCACAGCCTCATCTCTCTGTGTCCTGTGCTTACCAGTTGTGACTTTACCTGTGCATTAATCTCCTGCTCTTCAGTCTGGCTGGGGAATCCTCTGTGCAGGAGCTGCTCCTGAGTTTCTCAGCTGGCCCTTTGGGTGCCAGTGCAAGAAGGGCATGAGCAGGTCCGGCAGCTGACAGTGCAGGTGTTGGTGTGTGGTGAAGCAGTGGGAGATCCAGCTCTTCTAAGGCAGAGCTTTCCCACCTCCTCCTGCCGCAGAGGACACGAGTAAATGGTTGACTCTGTCGCTTCTGTTCCTTCCTTGTTTCCAGCCTGTTCCTGTGGAAACCACTGGACTTGGTGAGCAGGAAGAGCGGGAAAGGCTGAGGAAAGTGCTAAAGCAGATGGGAAAACTGAAATGCCCCAATGAGGTACAAGAACGATTCCTGTTTCTCCTCCTGTGAAGGGTGGAAGGAGCGCTCCCCAGTGCAGAGGGGGACGTGCACTCTCCAGGCATCCCTTGGCACGTGCTCCACTTCTCCACCTTAGCTCAGCCATCCCGGTCCCATCCTGCTGGCTCTGTGCGCTCGGGCAATGGGGCCTCCCAGCAGGAGGGGGGGCACAGGGCAGGTTGAGCAGCACCGAAGGGCAGGTTCTGCTTGCTGAGCTCAGGAAGGGGCAGAGCACAGCATCCAACCAGACCAAACCACGCTGAAAACGGTGGTGAGCTGCTTGCAGACAAGTCACCACCAGGGCGTGTGGCAGAGGCTTGGCCCTGTGGGTGCTTGGCTCAGTGCAGGCAGTGCCTCCCGGTGCCTCCTGTGTGTCTGTCTGGAGGGCTCTGATGCTGTGTCGGGGCAGGTAGAGCCAGAGACAGGGGATGCTCCCTCCGTCCTGCACTGCCGTGGCTCTTCAGGGGTGAGGGGCTGGTCAGTGATCACACATCACCGCAAGGGGATGGGTTGGTGGAGCTGCGTGTGGAGGGCTCTCCTTGGGTTGTGTTCCTCCCTGGAGCAGCGGCACATGAATCCCCAACCTTCCTTATCCTCTCCTTATCCCTGCAGGGCTGCGTGGCCAACTTCTCCAGCCTGATGGGCTACCAGTACCACCAGAAGCGGTGTGGGAAGCAGCTGGCCGAGGCCGACAAGCCCGTGTTCAGCTGCCCACACTGCGGCAAGAAGTACAAGTCCAAGGCTGGCCACGACTACCATGTGCGGTCAGAGCACACGGCCTCGGTGAGCCCCCCGGATGCCTCCACAGCCCAAGGAGCGGGGCCATCCCCCCCCACGGGGGACTGCAGAGCTGCAGAGCCTCTGGGCAGGACAGAGCCGGGCAGGGCCGGGCCGGGCAAGGCAGGTGCAGATGTTGAACCGATGCTGTTGTCTCCTTCGCATCCCTGTGCATGCGGTGTCCGGGGGGGTGGAGGGGGGAACACAAGCTATAGACCCCTATGAAAAAGCAGGAGGCTGTTTATGGGAGCAGGATGCTCGGCAGTGTTCCCTTTCCCTGGTGCCCGCAGGGCTGTGCTCCAGTCCCACCCTGCATCCGTGCTGTGCAGGGAAGAAAACCAGAGCTCAGGCCACTCCCTCAGCAGTAAGCAAGCGCCGGCTGCTTGCCAGCACTGGGGTGGCAGGATGCGTCCCTGGGGAGCATCCTTTTCTGTTCTCTTGATGCCTACTGACAGTGCATCCGACTCTAATAAACTCCCTAACTCAAATAAACAGAGACGTTTATACACGTGGGAGCACCAAAGGATGCAGTCAGTCTGATGTTGGTGGCTCTTCACCCCCCCCCTGCATGATGCAGGTCGTGCCAATGCGGAGCCCAAACCCCAGTATCCCATCGCAGGGGGCTCCTCTTCTCCCCTCGGCATCCCCATCCTGACTCTGTCTCTTTGCAGCCTCCGGAGGAGCCAGAGGTGAAGCCAGAGCCTGGTCCCATAGAAGATTTCGAAAGGACCCCGAGCGGCCGCATCCGTCGGACGTCGGCACAAGTGGCTGTTTTCCACCTTCAGGAGATAGCCGAGGATGAGCTCGCCAAGGACTGGACCAAGCGGAGGATGAAGGATGACCTGGTGCCTGAAACAAAGCGGGTGAGGAGCCTTTGTTTCTCCTCTTCTCTTGCAGCAGCTGTACATGGAGCTCCTGGGAGGAGGCAGCGTGGCTCAGGGCTCACGTGTCTTGTTTCTGTGCGTTAAATCAATTAGCTCTGATGGCAAATCTATTGCTAAAGAGCCCACCCAGCCTCAGCAGTCTGGAGGCTCTATAAGAGCCTGGCAGCCTTGCCCGTTCCATTGCCAATGCTCAAGTCTAAATGGAGCAAAAGGTGATGCGTTGTGGGCAGTGCAGGGATCAGAGGGTGTTGTGGAGAGAGTTCAGCTCTGGTCCATGCTCAGCAGTGAAGATGGCACTGGCAGCCGAGAGGAGTGTGTGGAGAGAGTAGAGGTGGATGTGAAACCATTTCCCTTCCACTGTCAGAGAGCGAAGATGCTCCAGGCGGAATTTCCTCCCTTCCACATGGAGGTGATTCCCAACGTAAAGGGAGCTGGAGCCTGGAGCTGCAGCCTGCAGTGGTGCACATGTGTCCCGGTGCTGTGAGATCTGTGTGGCCAAGTCAGTGCTCTGCTAGAAGTGAGCTTCATGGAGGCATCAGAGTAACACGGTAACCCGAACATCCCTCCTGGCTGTGGGAGGAGGTGATTCCTGGGAATGTCCCGAAGATGAAATTCCCTCCAGGAATGCTCCTTCTGGACCATAGAGGGAATGGAGCAGCAGCAAATCATAAACCTCTTCAGTGTAAAGGGGGGAAAAAGAGGAGTTGGGGGTTTTTAATCCTGTGGTCGATGCTTTTCGGTGAGCACCAGGACTGAGCCCAGAGGCGCCGCGTGAGTCTCGGCAGCCTTTTCCCTGCAGTTAGATCCCAGGTCTTCCCCTTGCTCCGAACCCTTGGGCATCTCCTGTCCCGTGCTCTGAAATTCACCATTGCAAAGATGGGAGCAAGGAGCAGAGGGCAGCGGGATGAAGCTTTGCGGCAGCAGGAGAGCATGGCGGTGCTTCTGCCACGAGCACACCCAGTGCAGGACAGCTCCAGCCCAAAGGATGGACGGGAGGAAAGGAGCCCAAGTGCCAGAGCCAGCCTGGAGGAGCGATCCCCAGGGACAATGCGTGGCACCACAGCACAGCTTCAGTCAGAGCGCCTGCCCTGTCCTGCTGCATGTGTGTCCCCAGCAGAAGTGCTGCTCCACCATCCTGCAGAGAGCTGGAGCAGCTCAGCCTCACTTGGCTCCCATCCTGCACGCAGTGGGCAGGTGAAACCAGAACAGAAACAAACCAGCATCTCCTTTACCCTCCCGGGCATCCCGTGAAGCAGCTGATGCAGGAGAGGATCCAGGCATGGTGCTGCCATCCGCCCTGAAGCAGAACTGAGGCTTTAGGGCCACAAGTGATGCAAACCTCAATGCTTTGGGTGCTGCTGCTGCTTTCCAGATGCCTTCGGCTGTGCTGCATTCATAAGGTTAAAAACTCAAGCCCAAAGTAGCTGTTTCATTTTGCATGCAGCGAGAGGGGAGGTGTGATGCTCTCTTCTCCCCCTTCCAGCCTCAGCGCTTGCATTCCTCTTTCCTCCTTGAATTGCTCTCCTTAGTCTTGACTTCGGGCATTTTCTGTTTGAATGGAGGGAGTCCCAGGAGCTCCAGGCCTGGACAAGGGGCCCATGTGCAAGCTGACATACAGAGGCATCATAAATGAGCTGCTGGCGTAATCCTGTGTGAAATGCTGCTGCTGGTGGTGGTTTTTATGAGGCATTTCTTGTGTTACGTTGAGTTGAGCGCCATCTCAGCACTAAAACCCAAAGAGGGTCGTTGTGAGCTTGGAGGAAGCAGGGTGGCACTGAAGATAGGCAGTGGGAGAGCTGGATTTCAGAGGAGGTCAGTGCAGTGGGAGCTGCCTGCAGGTACATCCTGCAGCGACTGTCACGTTCCCTTGACAACGCTCACATCAGCTCTTCAAGTCTGTGCCATTCTTTCCCGACGAGTGATGCTGAAGGAGGTGGGAGGCAGGATTTGGCTGGGGGGGGAGCCTGCTGTCTTCAGCACGCTTTGTGCTGCTTGTGCATTGCTCAGGACCCCTCGACGTTCACGAGTTGCTTCAGATCAGAACACTGCCCTGGCTTGGACCTGGGGAGGTTGGGGGTGTGAGGGATCAGTGCAGATTTCAACTGCTCCTGCGTCATCTCAGCAAGACCTGGGCACTTCCAGAGACCCGGAGGGATGGATGCTTCCCAGCTCTGGCCTGTGACCAGTGATGGCTGGATGCACCCAGACGTGCTGCAGCACAGGATGGGCTCCATCCCCAAGCTCTCCAGTTACCCCCCACAATCCCAGCAGTCAACATGGCTTTCAAGGGAGCTGATGAAGAAATCCAGCCCTCCTCTCCATCCCTTTGCCAGGCAACAATGCTTTTCCCTAGGGAGAGGCGAACAGCTCCTCAGCAAGCCGGTGGGATACAGGGGTTCACAGCCCCACTGCAGCCCCTGCACCATGCTCTGCCCTCGTGGCCACGTGGCAGCCAGCCCTGGCCAGGGAGAGGGCTGTTGGGTTTGGATCCCTTTGGTGGCCCGTGGTGGGATGCGTTTGCCTTTCCCCTGGAGGGTGGATTCCTTCACACCAAAGCAATGGCATTAGAATAAACGATTGCTGCTCCATCCCAGGCCCTGCGCTGCTCCATTCTGCACTAACCAAATCCAGCACTTCTAAATATACACTGGAGCCTTCTTTTCTCGCTGGGATCTTTCTTTGCCTCTGGATAAGCTGAAACAGATGGGGTGTTTCACAACGGCCGCTTGCTGGGGATGGCAGATGGGGAAGGGCACACCCCTGCTGCTTTTCTGGGAAAAAATCCCCTTTCCAGAAGCTCCAGGAAGATGATGCTGATCCTCGACCCTCCTCTGGCCTTTGCTGGGGCCATGGCGTGACCAGGAGCATCTCAGGGCTGTTGTAGAAGGAGCAAGAGGCCAGCGGGTTCCTGGCTTGGTGGTGCAGGCAGGCACTGGTGGGTTCTGGGGGGGTGATGTCCTTACCCATTTTAGAGGCTGCACTGGGAGAAACAGTCTCCTTGAGCAGAGGGAAGAGGCATTTAAGAGGCAGGGGGGGAGAAAACACCGTGGACATCCCACAGTTTGGTTGTGTGATGCTTTCCCTGTAGAGCTCAAGGTGGGATTGCTTGTTTCAAGGTGCTGTGAGCTTTGTGCTGGAGATGGTGATGGCTCCTGCAGCCCAGGCAGCTGCTGTGTTGCAGAGAGGAGGATGCAGAGCAATTCTATAGGGTGCGAGGGGATCCTGATTACATCCCAGTGGCTTGGGTTTGGGTGTTGCTGCAGCAGCCTTGGAGACTGCATGTCTCTGTGGGGCTGGGCGCTGTGTTGTGGGGTAATGAGGGTCCAGAGCAAAGGGCTGCCATAGGCAAATAATGAAGCTAAAGGGGAAAAGTCACCTCCAGGCTTGAGCTGTTAAGAAACCCCCTCCTGGCAGCAGGCTGCATTCCAGAGCAGAAGAGCCCGGCTCGGGTTTGTCCCCCAAAACAATGGCCCTGTGATCTGGGCAGGCACCAGGCTGAGCCCTGCGGACTCATGTCACTGATGGGCTGAACCGGATCCCAGCTCAACGGGGACCGGTCCATCCTTCCTCCTCCCGCTCATGGTGTCACCCGGAGCCACGCAGGGGACCCAGCTGCCAGCCAGCACCCCTGGGTGAGCCTTGGCCTCGCATCCAGGCCAGCATCAGCCGGGGTTTCCATGGGGGGATGCGAGAGCCTCGCGCTGGGGACCTCGGAAAGGCTCCCAGGGGTGCGTTGTTGGCCGGGGCCGAGGCAGCTGCATGGTTCTCATTTACTGCTCTGCGTTTAGGGGAAGGGGAGAGAGCCTTGAAATATGAAAGTTAATGAAACAAACCCATCAGTCAAAGAAAACGAGCCCTTCCCAGCCCAGCATCCTTCGACTGTTCACAAGAGATGGGCCGCAGCCAAAACCGGTTGTAATCGTTTAATGATTTGGCCATGAAGATTTTCACTTACAGGCTGTTTGAGGAAAATAAATGGGGGGAAAAAAAAAAACAACCCGGAGATTTAAATATTCCATGCCTGGGGCTCCCTCTTAATAGAGACATAAAGATGACTTTGACATTCCCAGAACCGCAGCGCCCTGGGAAGGCATGGGATTTGCATGTTATTGTACAGGCCTGCTGGAGGAGAGCAGGGAGGGATTCTTTCTCCAGAGTGGGAAGCTGGAGCAGCAGAGTCCACGTCTCTGAACATTCCCCCCGCCTTGTCTCCTCCCCAGGGATGTGCAGAGGGAGAGGCTGTTGCTGGGGCTGCGTGCGGTTCCTGTTTGCTCATTCGTGGGGTTGGTTGGGTTTGACTCTTGGTATCAGTGGCAGAAAGGGACTCCTGTGTTCTCCCCTGGAGGTGCCATTGCCTTCCCCAGGCTGGGGACCAAGCGGTTTAGGTCCGTGCACCATCCCAGAGCTTCAAAGAGCTGGGCTGGCATCTCCCCCGGCCACGGAGCACGACAAGAGCAGCACACTGGGGCTCGGGGCATCTTCGCATCCAGTGCTTAGGACATCACTGCACAAGGCTCTTTACCCCTCACATTGAGCCTGGCTCTCTCCAGGCTCCCTTCCCCGTGGCCACGTGCCGAGGTGGGCCTGTGGATCACTTAAATTCAAGTGGAAATGAGTGGTTGGTGCCCGAGCACTTGGTGAGAGCTCCTCTTTGCAGGGAGGTTTGGGAGCAGCCTGTCTGGGGGAGCTGGACAAGGGTAAATCCATGTTCATCAGCACATTCAGGAAAGCCTCCGCTGGAAAAGAGCTCCAGCTGCCTCCCTGCAGCATCAGAGCCAGGAGCTCCAGGTCCTGGGGGTGTTTCAGGAGCAGAGCCTGGGTTTGCATCTGTGCGAGTGTTGTTTGTGCCTCCTCCTTGGCCAGCCGGATGCATTGAGCTCAGAGGTGCCTGTGCTGTGAAGTCCATGACTGTGCAATGCCATGGGCAAAGCTCTCCCAGCCCTGCTCTGAACTGGGGCAAGTCTGGGGCTGGAGACCCAAAAGCCATCGATCCTAGAGCTCTCTAGAGCTGGGAGACCTGGTTGTGCAGGCAGGGGCTCAGTGTCCCCTGTTGATGGTGACACGGGGACGGGCAGAGCCCAGCCCCACAGGTAGGAGCAGGCACAGGGATCAGGCAGCACAGAGATGCCACGGCCACGTTTGCTGCTGCTGCCCATGCAGCAGTGGCACTGGGAAGGCCGAGTCTCTGTGCTGAAGCTCCGAGTCGTTAATGAAGCAGTAATTAAAAGCACTTGGAAAGAGCAGCCCTGCCAGAAGGAGAGGCAGAGACACAAGAGCCTTTCATTGTTCAGTTGTGCCCATTCATGGATGGAAAGCAGCCATGGAGGCTCTCGGTGTCCATCCCCTCTGCTCTCCCCGTTACAAAACGTGGCAGAAGGGGTTTGCTGATGGGATGCACTGAAAATGCAACGGGGCATGGCCCTGCAATGGGGCATGGACCCGGGAGCAGGAGCAGGATCATCCCCTCTCCTGTTTGCCATCAGCTGGAGGTGGCTGCAGCACCCCTGGCTCCTGCTCTGGTGTGCCTGGAGGGAGGTGACATCCCTGGGGGAAGCCTCCCAGCTCATTTTCAGCTCAGTTTCACTTCTCCTGGGGTGGGAGGGGGGGGGAAGCAAGAGCCATGTGAAGAGCAGGGAGCCCACCAAGGCCCACACTGGTGTGTGCAGCTCTGCTCACTGTGTTCTATTGTTTGCAGCTCAATTACACCCGACCGGGGCTTCCAAAGCTCAATCCCAGGCTGCTGGAGAACTGGAAGAATGAAGTGAAGGAGAAGGGCCGCATCAACTGTCCCAACAACGTAAGGACCGCCTCTGCTCGTCTCTGGCCTGGCTGGTCTCAGTCTGCAGGAGGAAAGGGGAGGTTTGGGGGCACAAACCCACCGAAGGCAGGTTCTGTTGGGCCCCAGATGGAGCTGATAGAGGCCCTCCTCTCAGTTCATCTCCGAGGTGGCTGCTGTGCCTGGTTGAAGCGTATCCCACCTTTGGTGTGCTCCAGCCACTGGGGTTGGGGATGAGGCCACGCTCTCCCCACGTTCCCTTCGGGCTGATGGTTTAGTATCACCCCATTCAGGCTCTGGAGCTGCCTTTGAGAAGCTCCCGAGATCCGGACAGGGTGAAGGCTCCACGTTCTGCCCTCCAGAGCCTTTTCATGGGGGGAACCTGCTTTACCCAGAGCCAGGCTGGGGCTGGTTTGAAGCCGTTTCCTTTTGAAGCCCTGCGACAAGCACAGACCCCGGGGATGTGGTCCATGGGCTCCATCCTGCTGCAAAGCACAGCCTTGGCCTGAGCTGGCGGGGAGGTGACCTCCACCCTGGTGCTGGGCCCTTGGTTTATCATCTCAAACAAAGCCTGGCTAAGGGGGGGTCTGAAGGAGGCCTCGGGGGGATGCTCTGGCTGGTGAATGGCATTTTGAAACCGGTCATGGAGAAGGGAAGGCTGCGTGGAGACCTCAGAGCAGCTTCCAGTATCTGAAGGGGGCTGTAGGGATGCTGGGGAGGGACTCTTCATTAGGGACTGTAGTGACAGGACAAGGGGTAACGGGTTCAAACTGAAACAGGGGAAGTTTAGATTGGATCTAAGGAGGAAATTCTTTCCTGTGAGGGTGCTGAGGCACTGGAATGGGTTGCCCAGGGAGGTTGTGAATGCTCCATCCCTGGCAGTGTTCAAGGCCAGGTTGGACAGAGCCTTGGGTGCCATGGTTTAGTGTGAGGTGTCCCTGCCCATGGCAGGGGGGTTGGAACTGGATGATCTTAAGGTCCTTTCCAACCCGAACTGTTCTGTGATTCTGTGATTCTCTGCTGCTGCCAGGGTGATTTCTGTCTCCATTAAGCATCTGCTGTGGCTCCAGGAGCTCCTGTAGCCCAGCAGGACCCTCCCGGCCGCTCACAAATGTACGTTTTCCATGGAGACATTGAAAGGAGACATTTGTCATCCCGTTGCAGAGGGATGTGCCCACATGACTCCCATTAGCACTAATAGGAAACGTGTGACCAGAGCCCTCCGCGTCTCTCAGAGCATTAACCTCACGCTGCTCAGCCTGGACCCGTGGCCTTGCTGGCACAGCAGGCTCCTGGCCCCGGCGCAGAGGAAGGCACGGAGCCGATGGGGGGGATCGTGGCAAACCCTGCTTTGTTTCTTCCTGCAGTGCTGTGAAGCCATTTACTCCAGTGTCTCGGGGCTGAAAGCTCACCTGGCCAACTGCAACAAGGTGGGTCCCTCCGCTCACAGCCTTGGGGTTGGGGTTTGTGGTTCCCTCCCTGCCCTGGCTCGTTTGGAAGCAACAGGCCAAGGGGCAAGGGCACAGGTTGAAGGAGTGTGGCCACTGGGAGGGCTGGGTGAGCAGTGCTGCTGTCACGGCTCAGCCTGGTGTTGCACCATCCCCGTCAGCTGCTCAGCCTCAGCACCATCCTCATGGGCAGGATCAAAGCCCCAGCTACAGGCAGATGAAGGCAGAGAGGCTGGAGCTGAGGAGGGATGGAGGGGACTTGGGTACTGGTCCAGTCTTGCAATGCAGATACCTCACCCAAGAGCCCAGACCTCTGGTGCATCGAGTGCCTTTGGGACAGGCAGCATCCTCCTGCCTCAGCATCCCCATCCCACCACAGCCCCTGGGTCATGCACAAGCCTTTGGCTACCCAGCGTGACTGCAGCAGCTCAGAAGCAGGGAGCTGGGCGCTGGGAGCTGAACCTTCCCAAGGCAAGTGGGATCAGGAGTCTTTCTCCACAGCCCTGCAGCCCCTCTGGGAGCTTCCCCAGCAGGAGGGATGCTGGTGTGGTCCCTGCTGGGGATGGAGCCGAGGCCGAAGAGGCAGCTCCTGCTCTGTGCAGGGCTGAGCAGCAGTGCTGTGAGCTCCGGTGGCCTGCAGCCACCACAGGGGAGGGATGCAGAGCTCAGCGTAGGTCCCTCCGATTGGAACTGAGAGCTGGTAAAGCTTCAAGCATGAAACGCTTCCAGCTGCAGCTTCCATTGAATGGAGCTTCCAGGAGGCAGCTCCAGCACATAGCCCGTGGTTATTAAAAACACAAACTCCAGCGCTAGCTGGAACATCAGCCCCTAATGAGATCATTTAGAAAATGGGCTGCAGAGATCCGGCAGAAGAGGCTGTGTTTGGGCAGGATAAAAGTGCAAGGAGAGGAGGGCAGTTCCTTTGCTGGCCTGCAGCACCAGGCAGCCCAGCAGCAAACGGGGCCGTTTCCTGCCTGGTTCTGTGCGCGGAACACGCTGTTGCCAGCAGGACTCTGCCCTTACAGAGGATTTAGTTTGGCAAAGGACCCACAGCCCACCAGATCTGCCGTAAATCACAGCCCCTCCAGAGCTGGGCTCTGATTCCTGCTCTAAAACCCTGCCGAATTGGTTGAAATAGAGCAAGAGCCTCACTGAGAACAGAGGATGCTCCCAGGCAGCACCCGGTCCTCAGCGGGGATGGATGCTCCACGCTGATGCCTCTTGCTGAAGCCAGCCTGCAGCAGGGCCAGCCCTGCCCGCATCCTGCCTGCTCCTGAAATCAAAGACCTGTCTTAAGGCCAGATTTACAGCACGGAGGAATTCCCAGGGAGCTCATACATCGCCTGGAGGGGCCCATCCATAAACCCCTCGTCAATAGAGAGCACATTATCTCCGCGGGTGCCGTGAACTGCGGCAGAGCAGGAGATCAGTCATCCCCACAAGGGCCCTAATGACAGGAATCCAGCAGTGGCTGCATCTCCGACAGCCTCCGAGGGAAAGGAGGTGAGTCTGTTGGACATCAGTGAGAAGTGGTTCAGCCCCAGGAGATCACAGATCTGCTGATGGAGAGGAAATGGGGCAATCACTCGCCCCCCCCCTGCCCCAGCAGCCTCCTGCACACCCCAGGGGCACACACACGGTGTCAGTGGTGCAATTGGTGCTGGGGACACACAGGCAGCAAAACCTGCTGCTCGCTGCTCACAGGGCCTGGCACTTGGATGCTTGACCCGGTGCCACCATGGGTGCTGCTGCAGCACAACCAGCATGGGCTGAAATAGATGTGGCACTGAGGGCTGGCAGAGATCTGGTGTGTTAGAAATGAGTGTTTCTTTTCTGTTTCTCTTTGAGGTTTAAGCATCAATTTCCCCTCGAAGATGGGGGAGCAGGATGGAGGGGGGGTCACCATGGTTTTGGCTCTGCATGGGGCTGCAGGAGGATGCTCTTGTCTTGCAGGGGGACCACTCGGTGGGCAAGTACCGCTGCCTCCTGTGCCAGAAGGAGTTCAGCTCCGAGAGTGGGGTCAAGTACCACATCATCAAGGCTCACTCCGAGGTAAGGAAGCGGATGGGGATGCTCCGGGCTGGTTTGTGTTCCATCACACCCATCCTCGGGCTGCCCTGCTCCATCCATCCGTGTCTCCCAAGAGCAGAGACAGCAGCATCAGTGCTGTGATAATCTGAGAGGGACATCCCTGTCCCCCTTTGGGTCCCTGTCACCCATAGGGCCCATTGTGGCTGCTCAGCCCTGGCCAGCAGGGCAGTGATACCAGTGGGGCATGAGGTGGGCTGTGTGTGATGGCCACAGCCCCAGGACGGTCCCTAACCCCCGTGTCCCCCCACGGGCACAGAACTGGTTCCGAACCTCCTCAGAGGCCAGCCGGAAGAAGAAGAGCAGGGAACCCCTTTCCTGCAGCAAAGAGGAGAAGAAGAAAAGCACAAACGGGAAGAAAAGGGGGAGGAAACCCAAGGAGAGGCCTCCGGAAACGTCCCCGAAGGGCAGAGAGACCGTGGCAGCAAAGACTAATCACAAGAAAACCCCCGAGCACTGGGAAGGCTCCAGAGGCAGCCCCGAGGGGGACGAGCGTGGCCCCAAGCCCCCGAGCCAGCGCAAGGCAGGAGCCAGTAAGATGCCTGAGAAGTGAGCAGCTCAGAGACTCCTCTCCGAGGATTCGTTTACAGCCCAGGGTAACAGGGTGGGGGGGTCCCGGTTTTCTGTCCCCCCCCTTCCAATCCCACCTCCCCCCCCCCCCCACCCCCTTTTTACAAAAAAAAGAAAAGCAAAAAACAACAACAAAAAAAAAGGGGACAGAAAATCCCATGGAACCACTTGGAGCAAATCCCAGCCCTTGTTTCACACTGGAAAAACAACCGGATCGAGCAAGCTGGACCGTTCTCCACCCCCTGCCCATGTACATACCCCCCATCCCTCCCTATTCCCTGACTTCCCTCCCTATTCCCTGACTTCCCTCCTTGCTCCCTGCACCAAACTGGTGACGCTTGAGTGAAAGAGAAGTGCAATAGCAGCAGGATGCCCTTGCCTGGGCTCTCTCTGGCTGTGTGTGCTGGGCTGGGGGCTGTCCAGGCAGGCTCCGAGCTGCATCCCAGCCCCTAGGGTGATGTTTCCAAAGATGTTTGACCCATGCATGCAGGCGGACAGGGGCAAAGGGATGGCAGGAGGATGCTGGCGGGATGTGGTGGTGCTTTCCTTGGGATGTTGCAGCAGGGACCTGCTCTGTGGCGTTGGCTTTGTGGCTGGCTCGGTGCAAGGGGGTTGTTCCAGGGGATGGAGCTGGCAGAGCATCCTCCGGATGCATGGGGCTGGATGTGGTTGTGGAAGGGCTGCAGGAGGTGTGGGCATCCCTGGAAGTGGATGGGAGAGGCGGACGCTGTAGGATGATGGGTGGGGTTGGAGGGATTAACTGAATGTTTTGGGAATGGCGTGAGCAGGGAGCGGGGTGATGGAGGAGCTGTGCCCTGGTGCTCATGGAGGAGCTGCAGCAGCAATGGCAGTGCTGGGGTGGCCGAGCCGCAGAGGGGAGCAGCTGATGGAAAGGGTGCTTCAGGGTCCCCATCCCAAAGGTGCTGATGGCCCAAATGGGGGTCTCTGTCCCCCATGGGGGGGGGGGGGGGGCAGCACCAAGTGACAATCATGGGTCCTGCTTTCGGGTGAGCCCCAACCGCTGCCCAGGCTCCTTCCACTCACCTTGTCTGTGGGGCTGGGACCTGCAAGGGGTGAATCTCAGCTCCCCCGACCTCCTTCCTTGGCAATGGAGAGCCCCTGCCCATGCTCCATCCTTTGCTTGCTCGTTTTCCATGGGCTTCCCTTTGCCTCTGTGCTGACACCCTTGTACCACCTCGCTCCAGCCTGGAGGGAAGCATCCCTGGAGCGGGATGTGTCTGTCTCCAGACAAAACCAGGCTACCTCTGTCCTTGGGAAGCGGGCACGTTTCCTCTCACTAATGGGATGGAAATCCTCACTTTGAGTTTGGTTTGCCCCTGTGCAGAGCTGGGAAGGTGGCATTGGGGTGGGGAGAGCTTCGGAGCTTCTGCTTTAATCCACTGCAACCTCAACCCTCAGGTTCCTTCCCTGCTCTTCAGGCACTGGAGGATCAGGATCATTTCCCTGCTCCATGGAGCTGTTCAGTTGTGATTAGCATCCTTCTCCAGGGGCAGGTTGGCACAGCATGGAATCGGAGTCATGGAATGGTTTGGGTTGGAAGGGACCTTAAAGCTCATCCAGCTCCAACCCCTGTCACAGGCAGGGACCCCTTCCACTGGAGCAGCTTGCTCCAAGCCCCTGTGTCCAACCTGGCCTTGAGCACTGCCAGGGATGGGGCAGCCACAGGGGATGATGTGTTCGGAGCCAGGGCTCTTCCCATGGGAGCCAGAGCTCCTGCTCCAGCCACAGCTTTGGAGCAGTGGGTGGGGAAGCTCCATTGGTTGCTTTGCTGCTTGTGCCTCATCCGATCTGTTTGGGCAGTGATGCTGGGACTGATCCTGCCCCGCTGTGAAGGGAACAGGTTGGGAGCAGCAGGACCAGTGTGCTCGGGGCTGTGTTGGTCCTTGGCACAATGGGGACGTGGTGATGCTGTCCTGGGCTGTGCCAGAGCAGGGACTGCAGGAAGGGCCGGGGTGAGGGGCCCGAGGAGGATGCTCGGGGTGCACATTGTGGCTGTTGGGTGTATGGGAAGGGGAGAATGGGCAGAGCCAAGGACCAGACATGGAGCTGGGCACTGCAACCTCCATGGAGGAGTGGAGGGAGCCGCTGGATCCCAAACCCATGCCCCACCGTGGGGGGAAACCCCCTGGCAAAGCTCCCTTCCCTTGCCCTGGGTGTCCCAGGCTGCGGGTTTGGATGTTCACCCCAGTCCATCCCCACCACCTCCCGTCGGGCACAGCCCAGGGCTCGATTCCCATTAACACTGATGGGCAGTGGGAATGGGGATCCCGGTGCAGATGCTGTCCCCGTCACCTCGGAGCTGGGGATGCACCTCAACCCCCTGTGGTCAAATGGGAGCTTTTAGGAGGAAGTGAAATCTTCAGGGTCTGTTTTTCCCCTTCAAAGGTGTTTTTCCCTATCACGCACAGAGGGATGCGTTGCGATGGGACACCCTTTACCCTCCCGCTTGGCCTTGCAAGGCTCTGGAGTGATGCTGGGAATACCCATCCCATGGCACGAGAGCAGAGAATGTGGGTTGTGCCCATTCGGGTGCTCCCAGTGAGGCAGTGACCATGGGGAGGATCTCACCTCAATCCAAAGGGACAAATGCATCCTTCCCCTTCCATCCCCTTGTCCATAGAGGTTTGCAGACCCTGAGTTCCAGGGCCCCCCCCCAATGTCCTCAGTGCTATGGGGTTAATACAGAGCCAACAAGGGTAGAGGGATGCTGGGGAGGGCGGCATGGTGGGACCCATGGGCTCGGTCACGGTAAGTAAATGGGGGGCAGAGACATCCCCCAGCACCCCCGGGTATGGGCAGCCCCATGGAGCTGGAGCTGCCCCATCCCGGAGCATCGCATCCAGGGGCATTGGGAGTGTTTGGGGAGCGTTTTGTTCTTTTCTTTCCCTCCTGGAGCCACCCATCCCACGGCACAGCCGGATGTCTCTCGTCGGTGCCAGTTATTAGTGCATAAGTGTATTGGGGAAGGGGGGGGGGGGGAGGAAAAAAAAAAGGAAAAAAATAGAAAAAAAAATCCAATTTATCACTTGTAACCATATATATAAATATATAAATATATATATTAAAAAAAAGTGTTTATTTGCAAAAAGATGGAATTGTTTTAACAGTAAAAGTATCTTATACTAAACTCCCTGTTTGTGATGCTCTGTTTTTGGTAGCCATGGCCCCCTGCTCAGTGCTGTGCAGCCGCGCTCGGGCGCTGGGCTGGATGTATTGAACAGCTCCATCAATAAATGGGTATGGATTTTGTATCAGCAGCAGCCGCAGCGGTGTTATTGTGCAGGTCGTTGGAAGGGTGGGAGTGGGATCTGAGGGGTTTCGCTGTCCTCAGGGTGGGGGGGGCTGAGGGAATATCCCGGTGCATCCCAAAACGGGGATGGGGAGCTCGGTACCTGCGGCACCCATGGGTGTAAATCCCCCTTCTCTTCCTAAGGTCTGCTTTGGTTCCAGATCCAGGTAAGCCTGATCACTCATCCCATGGTTCCCATGGATGGTCTTGCTTCCCAGGTGTGATGGGGACCATGGACCCACTCGTGCTCGCAGCTTCCACCCATGGCCCGAAGCACCCACCTACACCCCACAGCACCCACTGTGCCCACAGCAGCCACCTGCATCCTACAGCACCCATCCATGCCCACAGCACCCATGTACACCCTACAGCCCCCATCTGCATCCTATGGCACCCAAATATGCCCACAGCATTTGTATCCTACAGCACCCACCCATATCCAAAGCACCCACTGACGCCCAAACCACCCCCCATCTGCACCCATTTGAATCCTACAGCACCCATCTGCATCCTATGGCACCCAAACATGCCCATATTGTCTACTTGCACCCTATAGCACCCATCTGCATCCTATGGCACCCAAAGGTGCCCATATCACCTACTTGCACCCTATAGCACCCATCTGCATCCTACAGCACCCACCTGCATCCTATGGCACCCAAAGGTGCCCATATCACCTACTTGCACCCTATAGCACCCATCTGCATCCTACAGCACCCACCTGCATCCTATGGCACCCATAGGTGCTCACATCATCTACTTGCACCCTATAGCACCCATCTGCATCCTACAGCACCCGTCTGCATCCTACGGCACCCAGAAGTGCCCGCATCATCTACTTGCACCTATAGCACCCATCTGCATCCTATGGCACCCAGAGGTGCCCGCATCATCTACTTGCACCCTATAGCACCCATCTGCATCCTATGGCACCCAAAGGTGCCTATATCACCTACTTGCACCCTATAGCACCCACCTGCATCCTATGGCACCCATAGGTGCTCACATCATCTACTTGCACCCTATAGCACCCATCTGCATCCTACAGCACCCACCTGCATCCTATGGCACCCAAAGGTGCCCATATCACCTACTTGCACCCTATAGCACCCATCTGCATCCTACAGCACCCACCTGCATCCTATGGCACCCAAAGGTGCCCATATCACCTACTTGCACCCTATAGCACCCATCTGCATCCTACAGCACCCCCTTGCATCCTATGGCACCCATAGGTGCTCACATCATCTACTTGCACCCTATAGCACCCATCTGCATCCTATTGCACCCAAAGGTGCCCGTATCATCTACTTGCACCCTATAGCACCCATCTGCACCCCACAGCACCCATCCATGCCCATAACAGCCCTCTCCCCCCCCAACCCCATCCCCGCACTACAAATCCCGCACATCCCCGCGGCAGCTCCGCCTCCGTCCTCCCCGAGCCCGCCCATCCCCGCAGCGCCATGGCCGCGGCCCCGGTGGCCGAAGGGGCTCCAGCGGAGCCGCACGATAGGTAAGGACCCCAACACCGGACCCGTTGTAACCCTTCGAGAACGGGATCGCGATCGCAACGCCCCGGAGCCGCCGTTTCGGCGGCTCCGGGGCGTTGCGATCGCGATCCCGTTCCCCCCCCTCCCCGATGCCACTTCCGCGTATGGGGCCTCCCCATCCCATCGCTGCTTCCTATTCCCGCACCAAACCCTCTTCTCCTTCATCCCCCCCGCCCTTAATCCCGAGGTGCTGTTGGAGGAGCTGAAACCGCGTGTTTTCCACCCAAAACCATGTGTCTATGGTGTGTGTAGGGGGGGGGGGGGGAACTGGGAGCTGTGTCGGAGGCGTTTGGCACCATGGGGCAACTGGGCATCCCCTTGGGGCTAATGGTTGTGGAGTCGTAGGCACGTCACTCCATCCCATGGCTTATGCTCTTCCATCCCATGGCTGTGTTTCTGCATCCCATGGCTGTGTTTCTGCATCCCATGGCTGTGTTTCTGCATCCCATGGCTGTGTTTCTGCATCCCATGGCTGTGTTTCTGCATCCCATGGCTGTGTTTCTGCATCCCATGGCTGTGTTTCTCCATCCCATGGCTATGTTCTTCCGTCCCATGGCTGTGTTCCTCCATCCCATGGCTATGTTCTCCCATCCCATGGTTGTGTTTCTCCATCCCATGGTTGTGTTTCTCCATCCCATGGCTGTGTTTCTCCATCCCATGGCTGTGTTTCTCCATCCCATGGCTGTTTTTCC